TGAGGGAGGCAACCAATTGAGGTGTCTTTCTCACATTGATGTTCCTCGGCTCTGAGTCTCTCCCCCTCCCTTCCACTCTCTCTAAAAATCAATGGGAAAATATCCTTGGGTGAGGATTAACAACAAAAAGAAAATACTTTAAATAAAAAGATCATTCCTATTAAATACTTTAATAGGAATAAATGAATGAGTTTTTTGAAATTCTAAAAATTGAGTCAAGATTAAAGGTAATGAAGGAAAATGAAAAATATACTATTTTTAGATTACATAATAGCCTATCTAGAAAACCTAAAATATCTGGCACAACATATACTAAGTGGAACATAACTCTGAGATCACCATTATCAGATTTCTTTTCAGAACATAGTCCTCTATAGTAGACAAGTATGCTAGATCACAACTTATTCTTTTTTAAAAATGTTTTGATTGATTTTTTAGAGAGAGAGGAAAAGAGAGGGAGAGAGAGATAGAAACATTAACCAGCTGCCTTCTGCACACCCCATGAAGGGGATCAAGCCTGCAACCCAGACATGTGCCCTGACCGGAATCGAACTGGGGCCAGGTTCATCTTATTCTTAATAAAGGTAATCTGAAAAAAGAGCTGGATCTGAATTGAAAATAGGGAAGTATAAGGCCAAGAAAGGTAAGTTACTTGAAGTCACAGAACTGACAAAGGCCAGAAGGATGATCTGAATCCTTGTGTAATTCCAAAACCTGTCTCATTCCACTTGTCACAAGGCACCTTTACTTTAACTGATATTTTCTGAACACCCATTATGCATCAAGTGCAGGAGCACAAAAATGAGTAATATATTTATGTTTTAAAGATACCTAAGTTAGCTCTAGCTGGTTTGTCTCAGTGGACAGAGCACTGTGGCGTGGAGGGTCCCAGGTTTGATTCCATCAAGGGCACATGCCCAGGTTGTGGGCTCCATCCCCAGTAGGAGGCAGGCAGGAAGCAGCCAATCAATGATTCTCTCTCATCATTGATGTTTCTATCTCTCTCTCTCTCCCTCTCCCTCTCCCTTCCTCTCTGAAACCAATAAAAATATATTTTAAAAAAATAAAGATAGCCCAGCCGGGTGTAGCTCGGCAGTTGAGCGTCGACCCAGGAACCGAGAGGTCACCGGTTCGATTCCCGGTCAGGGCATATGCCCAGGTTGCGGGCTCGATCCCCAGTGAGGGGCGTGCAGGAGGCAGCCGATGAGTGATTCTCTCTCATCATTGATGTTTCTATCTCTCTCTCCCTCTCCCTTCTTCTCTGAAATCAATAAAAATATATATATTTTTTAAATAAAAATAACTAAGTTAAAAGAATTGCCCAATTATTTGGTTTAAAATCTAGGTCTCCTAATTCCAACTTCAATGATCCCTCCACCACATAATCATCATATATCTAAAAACCACATATTACTCTTTCTATGTGTAATAAACACCATTTAATGCTGGAGCTAATTCCAAAATTGTTAGTGTAGAAAGTTGTTATTCTAAGAGTACCCAAAAGAGGGACAATCCACACAAACAACTTTTTGTGTGCTTTTGAGGCATATTCAGTCCTGATACACACACAAAGTGAGGAGTCAATTTCCAAAGCAAACTCTTTCAGTTTGGGTATAGCACATTATCAAATACATCACTTGCAAGCTTTCTACTTATATTTCAATGTAATCATTTAGAAACATGAATATTTAAGTGACTTAAGATAGTCATTCTCAGAAATCTTCTAAGAAAATTTCAGGTAATTTAACATCTGTACAACTTAGAGAAATGTGGGCTTAAAAATAATACAGTTCAGTGGATTTATGTTGGAATGAACATCCATAATCATTAACGAATCTGCAAAAGGCTCTGTATCTGATCTAACCCTGTTCAATATTCCTATCACGGACAAGATGAAGACCCAGAAATTATACTGAAACACCAGAAAAAACCTTCAGAAAATCACCAATTTCTCTTTCATCTCTCCTGTTCAGCAAAGTAGAACCCTCAGCTGGCTATCTGTCATATTGAGACAAGGGAGAAGTATAAAAAACAAGCAGGGCTTTCCAAAACAACTAGAGGAAAAACTCCCATGAAAATGCCCTAAGCATATGGACCAAAGCAGGAAGTAACCCATCAGGACAGGAACTAGGGAGCAGAGTAAAACAGAATGACTCCCATCACCTACCAACCAATCTATGAATGATACACATGCAGATATTCTGATCACGTTAGAAGAAATTAATACCCAGGGATATTTGAACTTTAAAATCATTCTTGAGATAAAGTAATTCCAGTATAAACAGAAAAGTGATTTTCTCATAACATTGGTGACCTCTGACTAAGTAAAATTATGACCAAAACATTTTAAGATAAGGATTCTTTATAAATAAAAACAACTTACCACAATCCATTCAGCAATGTTTTCATAGAGCTCTGGACTAAAAATTGCTTTTTTAAGCCTAGCTAAAGGACCATCAGCATCTACTAATCTGCACCGCATGAAAACATCACAGTAGCCTCTAAAATCATTGCAAGGGGATCCAGGTTGCAGGGTGATGGTTCGACCCATGAAATGCTTGCTCCATTGCACAGACCCTGTACTGGCACAAGTTGATAGGTCCACTGAAAAAGAAGTACAAAATATAAGTTGAAGATCAGATTTTCTAGGGGACTAGCTGGGGAGAAAGGGAGGAGGAAGAAACTGCCTAAAATCATTATCATGACATGTTACAAAGACTTTCATTAGTGAGGCTAGATAACACTAGTGGGAATTCACCTTAAATGTTACAATATAAGTAAACAACCAGCAACTCTTTACTTAGTGGCTACAATAGCTTTAAAATCTTCTAACAGTGTTTATGTTAATTGTCATAAAGCTGGCAGGTTTTTGTCTAGTTTACCATTTTAAAAACACTGTAGAGACCTAATACTAAAACACAATACAATGCTACATCTAAAGTTTTTCTTTCTCAAGAGGATCAGGTTAGCTGAAATTATCTATGCAAAGTATATGTCAGAGTTTAACACTTAAAATAGAAGAGAAAATAAGATTCTCAAAACAAATTTTATACTCCTCTAGTATTTTTAAAAGCCTTACTCTTCTTCATACAGCAGACATGGCATAATTCCTTATCATCTTTGCTATCAGAACTGGCACAGGTACACTCCTCCAAGCCATATTTCTCACAGATAGAGCCTGCACATTGCTGAAAGGAAAATAGAAAATCAATTATTTAATCCCTAAATAGTCAAGGCTATTGTGCACAGTAATAGACAGGCAGATATAAGCCTCCAATGGTAAAATAATTAAGTAGAAATATAAGCTGGGGGGAAAAGCATAAATTAGTATCAGAAATGGATAATATAAACATATTTGAAAAAGAATAAGTGCAAATAAGATAGGAAATCTTTTAAAGAAATAGCAACTTAAAATATCAAGATCTTTACAAAGCAAAAATAGAAAAAGAGAGTAGATAAACATCAATTTTATGTTAGTTATTATTAAGAAGAGAAAAATGAAATTTTCCTCATATAGAAGAAAGTAACCATTTAGTCAAGAAAGCTTCGAAGGCTTTATATTCTTTTATTTAGGCTATTAAAAAGATATTAATTTATAAAACTTAAAAGCAGTACAAAGTCACATGACTAGTTGTACAACTATTTTTCTCTAGAGAATACCAAACACACACAGTGGAAAGGTAAAAGGCAAGTCAGTAACTAATAGGATGCCATCAACCATATAATACATTTTGGCTTTGTGGTGGATACTGAAACAGGAACTGAGATTAATTACTTTAACTATGCAGCTTTAAGCGTCAACAACTATTTTGATAAAGCAGGTTTTATAAAACTAAATTAAAAATATATACATCAAATACTTACCCCATTAATGCATACTTGTGTGTGCCTATTGCAGTCTGTAAAGTTTGGTTTAGGGTCAGATGCTGGGCAGAGAGCTGTAATGCCATTACATATTCCTTCTTTTGCACAGTCTGAATCATCCCGACACTTTTCAGTTTTTGACTTGAATATACACTGTGCTGTACAACAGGGACCTTGGCTTGGACTAAAAGAAACATTACATGATTAAAATTGCTAAGATATTTCTTATATATATAGATATGGTCCTAATTTTTAAAATATAAATCTTATCTTTTAAATAGTATGTTATTGATATACAACTTCAAATATTGGAATAAAAGGCTACTAAATTTCAACATTCTAATAAGCATAGAAAAGTGATTGTCTCATTTTTATAAGCAAGGCATTCTTATTCTATTTGTCATTAGTGAAAGGCTATAATAGAAAATGGATTTAGTAGTAGGCAAGTTACCAGTGTTCTTCATAATTACATCATACATTAGTCAATTTATCAATTTCCTCACATTTATATGCTAAAATCAAAGTAGGAAAAACAAACCAATATTGCACAAATAATATTCTATTGCTTTTGTCAATTACTACCAAAGTAATATGACAAGTGAAATAATTATATGATACTAAGTTATAAGAGTGCATGAAATCCACCAGCTGATATGGCTCATTGGTTGAGCATCGACCCATGAACCAGGAGGTCAGGGTTCGATTCTGATTCAGGGAACATGCCCGGGTTGCAGACTTGATCCCCAGTAGAGGGCATGTAGGGGACAGCTGATCAATGATTCTCTCTCATCATTGATGTTTCTATCTCTCTCTCTCCTTCTCCCTTTCTTCTGAAATCAATAAAAATATATTTTTTAAAAAGAGTATATGGAATCCATATTACTTAAATATTTAAAATTAAGATCCTAAAAATATGGATGATAATATTTTTAAAGTTAAGAACTAAATAAAATGCATTATTGAGCATCTTTTGCATGTCCTTTTTTTAACACCCACCACACAAATTACAATTACATGTAGTTCAATTTGCCAACAACAGTGCACTAACCAATGCTATGGAGTAGAAAAAAAAAAAAAAAATATATATATATATATATGAAAAAAACACAAATAAAGCAAAACAACAACAAATAAAGTTTCAAAACCATATGCATCTCTTAATTTGTTTTAAATCTGCCATAACTGCCTTCAGGTGACTTTATAGGAACATAAACATGACTGGAATTAGCAAGGCACCTGCACTGTTTCCCAGGTCTTAGCTTGCATTTTTTCCCCTCTGGCTGGTTTGCATCATAGCAGCACTCATCTTTACACTGGTCACTATAGCCACAATCACATTCTTCACCTTGCTCTACCATTCCATTTCCACAAATAGGTTGGCCAGACTCTGAGGAAAATAAACAAGACAAAGTAAACATTGTATGCATACGTTAATTTGATTTAAAATTCACAAACTCTTTGGAGACAGGAAAACTTTGACAGGAAAGGTAGAAGAACCTAGAAATGTGGAAATTAAGAGACCTATTACTAACACTGGTTCAGTCATTAACTAGCAATGTGGTCTGGGCAATTTGCTTCCCCTTTTTTGGGCCTTAGTGTCTTCATCTGTATAGTGAGTGGATTTGACCTGATGATCTCTTCTAAGGTCCCTTCTAGAAGTGGTAACATCCTATTAGGCCATACCATACGGAGTTTTACTGAACAGTGACAGCACTATTTAGATTACACAGATACAAATTAAGTTAGTGATTTACAACCAGAAACAAGTTAAACTTTTTTTGTTAGACAGAAAATTTCAAAACTACACAGAAGCAGTAACAGAATAAGTACAATGAACTCCTATGGACCAATCACTCAGCTTTAATAACTATCAATAAACAACTCCACCTAGCATACTCATTTGTTCTTGTAAATAAGGGGTGGGGAACCTTTTTTCTGCCAAGGGCCCTTTGGATATTTATGTCATTCGCGGGCCATACAAAATTAACTTAAAAATTAGCCTGCTATATTTGGCTAACTCACCCCTAATGCCTTGGCAGGGTCAGACCAAATGATTTTGCAGGCCTTATACATCCCTGAGGCCAAACATTCCCCACCCCTATTGTAAATACTCCTGGATGAATCTAAGACATAAGTTTTTTCTTTTAAAAATCTAACTATAATACCATTATCATATCTGACAAAATTAGCCATATGCTTAATAGCATCTAATTGCCAATCCATGTTCAGTTTTACTCAACTATCTCTTTATAACTGGTTTATCTGAACCAAGTTCTACAAAAGGCTCCCCAACACCCTCTCCTGATGATTGCTTTTGGTTGACATGTGTCTTCAGTTCTTTTAATATATAGCAGATTTGCTCCTCTTTTTTTTTTTTTACATGCTTTATTCATTAAAGAAATTGGTCATTTTGTTCTGTGGAATTTCCCACATTCTATTTGGCTGGTTGTATATTAGTCTATAAGTAATCATTTTTAAATTTACTTTAGTTTTGCTTCTCAGCTAGACCAAGCTCCTTAAGGGAAGAACCATGTATTATTTATATCTTTTGTATTTCCACAGGGCCTATTAGTATTGGGTCAAATATCTTGGTTCATTAAGGTCATACTGCCTAGCCTAAGCATAGTGAATAATTTTGGAAAAAATTTTAGGATCTCTTTTCAAGTTATTTGATTTTGTCAATGAGGTTATAATTAGAACAAGAATGCTACTCTTTGTAAGATAACAAAATTACAGAACTTCAGCACCTACAGGGAAATGATAAGAATCAAATGTCTTCATTTTACAGAAAAGAAAACTAACTTCCAGAGAGTTTGTGACTTGCAGGAATCCATATACCCCAGTATGGGCAAAAGACTAAACCTAGGTCTATATCTAAAATCTGGTGCTCTTTTCTTTCTACACCAAATCAATGTGGAAAACAGTTGTAGTACAGGCTTCAAATGGAGAAATCAATATGTAGAAGGGAACACATCTAAAATGCAGGAACTCAACATGAGAAGTATCTAGAAAGTCTAGGTTTATATTCATAAAGTTCATTCCTATCTTTAACCACATCAAATATTAAAGGAAATGTTAGCAATAATTAGATCTCTATCCCTCTTTCATTTCATACCATCTCTTTTGTTTTATAAAAGTAGATGCATGCACATGCTTATACTAGTATATACTGCGTAAACAATAAAGGTTTTTCTATAGTCTAGTAATAATCAGTTTGTAATTCATGTGACATATAATTAAAAAGAAAGGAAAAATTATAAAGTCAGGAAACCTATATACAACATTCACTACATTAATTTACATCTCACATAGAAATATTACTTCAATCAGCTACTTGCTAACTAACAGCTTACACACAGAAAAGATGCTATTTAAGTGCAAAAATTATACTAGGTACATATTTCATTATAAGAAACAAATTTCCTTCCCTTAACACCTGCAAAGCAATATGCTCATTTTTAAAACTCAAATTCAACCAGAAAGTTTATTGTGAAAACCCAGTTGAAAAATCAAGAATGTATGTAGCACTTCCACATTAAAAGCTTTAGAAAAGCTACATTGATAATAAAAACAAAAATGATAACATCAGTATAATTTTAATCTACACTTTTAAAAGAAAAAGATGGATTTAAATGAGAAAACCAATCAGTAAAAGTAAATATTGATCATTTGGACCTTATCAAAATTTAATTTTTGGTCTGAAAAATATTCTGTGAAAAAAGATAAAAAAACAAGCAATAGACTGGGAGAAAATATTCGCAGATCAGTATCTGATGAATGACAACTAGACTGTATAAAGAATTCTCAAAACTCAATAGAAAAATAATACAATTAGAAATGGCCAAGAAATATGGACAATCACCAAATATACACATGGAAAGATGTCCAACATTATTCATTAGTCATCAGAAAAATAAAAACCACAATGAGATATCACTATATATCTATTAGAATGGATAAAATAAAACTATTAAAAATACCAGAAAACTAGCAAGGATGCAAAGAAATTAGATCACTTATACACTGCTGGTGGGAATATAAAATAGTAAAACCATTTCCCTAGCCAGGTATATCACAGGCTCATGTTGGTTAGAGCATTGTCCCGATAACCCAAAGTTGTAGGTTCAATACCCAGTGAGGGCACATACAAGAATCAACCAATGGCCGAACCGGTTTGGCTCAGTGGATAGAGTATCGGCCTGCGGACTCAAGGGTCCCGGGTTCGATTCCGGTCAAGGGCATGTACCTTGGTTGTGGGCGCATCCCCACTGGGGGGTATGCAGGAGGCAGCTGATTGATGTTTCTCTCTCATCGATGTTTCTAGCTCTCTATCCCTCTCCCTTCTTTGTAAAAAATCAAAAAAACTGGATAGAACCAAACACACAAGAAAGAAAAAAGAACCAACGAATGCATAAATAAATCTACTTATATAAAAACCATGGGTGGTGTTCATCACATCCAGAACCACCACGACCAAGCGGAAGGAAGTCAGTCCTGCAGGGGTTGTCTTGGCAACGGCTGCGCCCTCCCCCCAAGCTGTTTCCCGGGGCTGTTTCCTGTAAGGGCAGGGTTTGAGGCAGGAACCCGCCCTGGGAGCGTGGAGGCATAGGGGTGAACCTGAGTGGGGGCGGCTGAAAGGCTTAGGAAAGACAGACAAGAGAATGAAAGCCGGGTCTCGGTGGGACGCTGCTTCTCTGAGAGACAGCGACCACGCCCACAGCCATGCCTTTATTTTAAAGCAGATACTACAAGGCAAAGTAGGGGCGTGACCAAGATGTTTACAACATTCTCCTGGGTTTCAATCCTACTCAACTACATGCACCTGAACTCTATCAAGCTTACATCACTCAGGCACATGGGACCATAGGTTCAAGCTTACAGCTACAGCTGTTGGCTATAATTGTGCTGGGAGGGCCCTGCCCTCCAAGCTGGGACTCGCACGTGGCAATGAGAGGACTGTACCCTCTCATCAGTCCAAGGCTTGAACCTGTCCAAAACACTGTAGCAGCTCCCCACAATAAAATTTTAATTCTGTTTCTTTGTTACTAATGTTGTGGCCCCACCCCATAACAAAGAAACAATTTCCAGAGGATGAGGCCCAGGAATCAAGATTTTAAAAAGATTCCCAGGTGATTCTAATGTGCAGCCAAGGTTAAGAACCACTGCTATAGATAATATTAAAAATATATCTAAATGTGCAATTCTTTGTCCAAAAAATGAGCATGTTCAAAAATTAAATGAAGAAAATTTGGATATACTCGATGGAGATTTTCACACATATTTGAGTGATGATTCCATTGATTCCACAGATGATGCTGAAAAGGAAAATTTTCCCATCAAATTTCTTAATAGTATTACTCCTTCGGGAATGCCGTGTCATAAATTAAAATTGAAAGTGGGTGCAATCATCATGCTATTGAGAAATCTCAATAGTAAATGGGGTCTTTGTAATGGTACCAGATTTATTATCAAAAGATTACGACCTAACATTTTCGAAGTTGAAGTATTAACAGGATCTGCAGAGGGAGAGGCTGTTCTGATTCCAAGACTTAATTTGTCCCCATCTGTCACTGGCCTCCCACTTAAATTGATTCGACAACGGTTTCCCGTGATGCCAGCATTTGTGATGACTATTAATAAACCACAAGGACAAACTCTCGACAAAGTAGGCATATTCCTACCTGCACCCACTTTTGCACATGGTCAGTTACATGTTGCTTTCTCTCGAGTTTGAAGAGCATGTGATGTTACAGTTAAAGTTCTAAGTACTTCATCACAAGGGAAATTAGTCAAGCACTCTGAAAGTGTTTTCACTCTTAATGTGGTGTACAGGGAGATATTAGAATAAGTTTAATCACTTTATCAGTCATTGTTTGCATCACTGTTGTTTTTATATCATGTTTTTGTTGTTTTCATCTCATGTTTTTGTTGTTTTCATATGTTTTTGTTGTTTTTATATCATGCCTCTGTTGCTGTTATATCCTTTTGTTACTGTTTATTTATTAATAAATTTATATATTATTTTCATATACATTTTACTAATTTCCTTTCATCTCTCACACTTCTATTATAAAGGGCAAATAGCAATATTAACACATTGTATGCGGGAAACGTATTTATACGTTTTATAAATACGTTTCCCGCATACAATGTGTTAAAATATCTCTGCTAATTAATTCCTTTTTTAAAAATATATATTTTATTGATTTTTTACAGAGAGGAAGGGAGAGGGATAGAGAGTTAGAAACATCGATGAGAGAAACATCGATCAGCTGCCTCCTGCACACTCCCCACTGGGGATGTGCCTGCAATCAAGGTACATGCCCTTGACCAGAATCAAACCCGGGACTCTTGAGTCCACAGGCCGATGCTCTATCCACTGAGCCA